CTCAGCTGCTCCTCATAAGACCCATGATCTAGACCCTCCACCAGCTTTTCTACCCTTCTCTGGACCCGCTCCAGCACCTCGGTGTATTTCTTGTATAGAGGTACCCAAAGCTGAACACAGTACTCAAGGTGCAGCCTCACCAGTGCCGGGTACAGGGGGATAATTACTTCCTCCTGGCCACACTATTTCTAATACAAGCCAGGATGCTGTTGGTCACCTTGGCCACCTGGGCTTGCATTAGTGTTTTTGAATTCTCTTAAGTATACCACGATGCACTTCCCTTCACTGAAATGGTTTTTAGATTGTATCTTCAATTTTTGAAAATAATTTTGTATGCTAATCTAGCTACCAAGTTTTTTTCTTCCCTTAGTTGAGAATTATCAGACATTTTTGAAAATACCTTTACTTTCACATTCCTTTTAAGTGCAAGTGCTAACTAGAAGTAGAGGGGGTTTGAAGAAAGTGCATCCATGTCAGGATTCAGATGGCACCCAACTGGAAATGCTTTCAGTGCACTGCTCACTCAGCCTCTGAGAAAAAGTTATTTTTGGCTGTTGTACACATAACGTATAGACAAAGTGTGGCTGTATAGTTTCCTTTTGAGAATGTTTGGTGGCCTGTATCAAGCACTAAAGCAAAAGTGTATCATAATACATGGCTTCCCTTTCACCACTTCCCAAGTGACCCTACCAGGAAGGTTTCTTAAGAATAAATACAATTTTTCTTACAGCTTCAAATTCACTTTGGATTAAGACACTAAAGATTTTTCTGTTCAGCATATTTATTCTGACAAGCCTGGGGTGTAGTTAGCAGTGTACTCTTTCAAAAGGATGCAAACACATAGCAAACATAGCTTTTATGCCAGTGACTCTTACTTTTCTCCAGTATTTTATTATATGGATGGCAAAAACAAATTCAGAGGACTCTGTGCACAATCTCAAAGGATTAATGCAACATGTCTCTTTAGTCTTTTCTAAACTTGTGCAGTTAAAAGCAAACGTGCAAATAAACAGGCTAATATCTTCATCTTGTGTGGCTTACTGCATGTACAAGGCAAGTAGACTGGCCTGTTTTAGATATTTATTGAATACCCACCATTTTTTTCCTATGTTAGCATAATTTAGAAACTATTTCTATATTGCTATCAGTATTGGGGTTTGACATGTACACGGATTTATTTAGTTCCAGCAACCCAAAGAGCTACTCATTTCTCTTTCTCCTTCTTAGGGACCTTTTGTGTGCAAGTAGATCATGTGAGTCCTAATAGGTCACAGGGAATAAATAACTCAGCTGAAATCACCGTGCTCAGCGTATAACAAAGGCTTTGTTCTTCTTGGCACAATGGAACCAAAAAGAATAGTAGGAAGGTGATGCTTAATGCTATTCCTGAATTTTATTAAATAGCAATGTGCAGTGGACTTGACAGCTGCACTGCATTTATCTGTCTTCTTAGTCCCCTCAGAAGAGCGTAACGATCACCTTGTTTGCTTTTGCCTTTCATGCAAAAATAATGTCTTAGTAACTAAAATCTGGTACACCTCTTAGACTGCAGATGTACAGTGCTACTCTTATTCAGCTTCTCCCTTTCTAAGAAGACTTTCATGGAGGACTCCATCATCACTAAGTAAATGATTTTACAGAATTAAAAATTTTACTTACATCATTCCAGGTCCTCCAGCTTCTTTTGGAGTACATTTTCTACCACAATGTTTTTGGTTGGTTGATTTTAATGGTTGGTGGTACTGAAGCCTCTTTGAAAAACATTTTTTTTTTTTTTCTTTTTTCAAAAACCCATTTTCCTGCAGTGCAGTTTTTTGAAGTTTTTCCCAAATTACAAATGTGCTGTCTATATTCTTTTAATTATAATAGGCCTTTCACTAGGTAGGGTTATTTCATCCAAGCCATTTTAGTTGTGAAGCAGGAACCATACTGGGTGACAGTAGCTGATTGGATGTTGCTTGAGCTGCTCTCTCTCTTCATTGTTGTCAAGCTTGGATAAATGTTATATATTTGAATTACCACTTATTTTTTCTGGAAAGTGTCTGGGGACTGCATGGACTTGTCCACAGGGTAAACCCAGCCAATGAAAGCTCATTCTTCTAGACCTCAGATTGTGGATCACTGGAAACCTTGCTGAAGAGATCAGTGTGAACACCAAACAAGGAGATTTTGTTGCAGCCTTACCCAACAGCTTCAAAAGTGAGAAAGCTTCTTCCCTGTTCCTTGCAAGGAGTTGACGGATGGAGGAGAGGAGGAGAAGGTGAAATGGAGGAAGGAAAATACATCTTTTCCTTTTCAGACAAGAACAGTAGGAGGAAAAGAGATTCCTTTGTCAGTGTGCAGACCAGAGGAAAGGAGAAGCTGAACAGCTTCATGAGAAGGAAGTTATTCTGAATGTCAGTTCTGTAATGAGGCTCTTCTGCATCTACTGGCTCAGTGCAATTTCAGCATTATTTTGTGGTTCTGTACTTTCAGCTGTGCAAAATGCATTGCAGAGCTACATTTTCTTTCCATGTTTTTTTTTTTGCTGCATACTATGAAATTTAGAAGAACAACAGGTTTTTTTGCAGTCTCTGGAGCTCTACTAAATAATGGCAGAGTTTATTATTTTTAAGAGTGAGCCATTTTATAAATATATGCTCTAGAAGTACGACTGGCGTGCTGTTTAAAAAAATAAATTTAAAGCATACATAATTTTAGCGTATTGTATTATGCAATAGGCCTGCAGCTGACGTGGGAATTAGAATTCTGATCTCTTAAACGTATCAGAATGGAATGTAAAGGTACCTTCCTTCTATTTATAAGATAAGATTTCTGTCAGTACTCATTACCTTAAGATAAGTCAGAAGATACTTAGTGGAAGACAAGATTGTGTGTTAAAGCTAATTACTATCTAATGTAATGTAGCTGCAGGTGTCCTCAGGGCACAGAGTCTCTGGTTCCCCGACTTACCAGTCACAATGGAAAGTGATCTCCACCAGTCTCACGTTTCCACATCAGAAGTATCATCCTTAAAAAAACATACAGAAATAATGAATTTGAGTTAGTGTAGTACTTGTGAATCCTGGGCAGTGAAGGAAATGGTGCAATATGGCTGAGCTTTGTAGCATTAAGTTTTCCTTTCCTGACCTGCCAGTTCTTTGTATTCCTGGGTGCAGAGAACTACCTGGAGGGGGCGACAGGGAAGTTCTGCAGCGGTGACATCTTGAACCTTGCACATAGGTTACACAGTTCAGATAAGAGGTAGTTTTTAAATGTAGGTTTGCTGCATGCTTGAGGAGTTCCATAAGTGGTTATCTACCACCTTAGCTAGACAGTCTGCCTTTTGAATAGCTAGTGTAGTGCTGGTGGTTCAAGGATATGTTTGAGAGGCTGGGTGTATGGAGAGAAGTAACACAGGGGGGTACACAGGGAGAAGTGATTGATGTTAAGCCAACCAATTGAGATATTTAGAAAAAGCATAAGAGCTTTTGGCATACAGCCATCAACCAGTGTTCTGCATGACAAAGAGGCTTGCTGTGATAAAAATCTAGATGTTATTTCTCGCTATTTCTCCTTCAAATTTTGCCACTTTGGTTAGCAAAGACTCTTTCCCTAAATATTTGATTTCCTTTCACATGGGATATATGCATATGTCATGCTACAGTGTTGTGCCAAGCCCTTGTGTACCCATAGTTGTTCTGCTTTGTAGGTTGTCTTTCCACCTGTGACATTTAGATACTGTCTGGTCAAGGAGCTATCCATAGTTCATTTTTTTATTCCCCTTTATATTTTTTAGAACATGGAAAAATCCTGTGGAGATTCCCATCTTTGACAGTCTGATTCTGTTCAGATCAGAGGGACTTTTGTTGTTGAATTCTTTGGCAAAGTCATTAGGATCTAAGCGCAATTACCAGTCATACCATAAAGTCAAAAGTTCATTTTTCGTTCTCTCACATTGTTTCTTAAACATTTCCTTAAGGCTTTATTCTTACATGAATACGTGAATTGTCTTTTTCTGGAGATTTCTACAGGTGCTTCCTCAGCTGTGTACAGTGTCACTTCAATTTTGATACGCTTATCTGTTTAATCTGAAACCTATTAAAAAAAAAAAAAAGGTGATGTAGAATGTATTTATCCAGGAAACGTGGTGGTTAAATGTGCTTTGAAATACATGTGCTCCAAGTGTGTCACTGTCATAGTGACTTCATGAAATAGCTTATCATTTATTATTATATGTATAGCTAATGCTATGGTACTATAGTAGTTATATTTTCCTGATATTCACAGTTTTGCAACGTGTTTCATATCCTTTGAAGTTGTGACTTGCGGTGGGTTTTCTGTGGGGGTGTGGTTGTGGGTTTTTTTTTAATAAACTGCTAAACTGGGATATAAGCTTGTAACAGTCACAATAAAGAATAAAGAATCAGAATAAAGATTTATTAATGAGGACAGGAGAATAAATTCTCATCTCTTAAGAGGCCCCTTCTTCCAGAGTTTAAAAATAATCCTTATTTCAAGATTGCATCTAAGCTTTGCCATGAGAACACACTCCTTGTCTATGTTTTTTTTTGTGCTGTTGGTTCACTTGCAGCCTTGTAGCCTTAATTATAGCCCTTATAAAAGCATCGAGACAAAAGGTGTCAGAGCAAAACTGAACTATGTTTTTTGTTGTAATGAAGCAGCTCATAAATAATTTTTTTTTTTTTTTGTAGCTGGGAATATATTTTAAATATATTTATGGAGCAATCATCAATTTAATTTTTATTATCTAATGAGCAAGTATATAAACTTGTGCATCTTACTTCTATTGAGGATAGTGATAAATTATTCTTTCTTTTTGCAGGCAGGATAGTTAGTCTGACTTAGCAAGATTGTTTCCTGTCTGGGCCTAGAGGTCGGGTTTTTTTTTCTGCCCCAATTTATAATGATTGGAAAGGCTCTTTTTACATTTAGAATCTAATCTCAGTATTTCAAAGCAAAGAATTCTGAAAAATAAGACCTATTTTTTTGGTTTTTAGGGTACCTTTGAAAGTGGAACAAGCAAACAATGCTCGTGATGCCTTGGCTAAAACGGTGTATAGTCGTCTGTTTGACCATGTAGTGAACAGGGTAAACCAGTGTTTTCCATTTGAGACTTCTTCTTTCTTCATTGGAGTTCTAGATATAGCTGGTTTTGGTAAGTAGATTTAAAAATAAAATAAAGTTCCTAGTTGTCTATTATTGCCACCAAAGATTCAATGATAAATCCCATAATGGAAAGCGGGAGGATTTTCTTTTTGGTGGTGGTGGTGGATGGGACGGGTTCCAAAGGGTTAAGCAGATATCAAGGCAGCAGATAAAGCCTTGTTTTTCCTGAGATGTAGAGAAGGTCTAGAACTTCACCTGATGACCTGATAACACTAACAAGCATTAGTGTGGAACTAAGCATCTTTGTAGTAGTTTCAGATTCCTGTAGAATCTACTCAGACAAAGCTTTTGAAGGACTGAAAATTTGAAATGGAATCTTACTGTGGCCACCCCATAAAATTAGTAAAGATGCTGCATGTGCATGCTGTCTTCCCCATTCAGTCCTGAGAAGATTGCTGCATACTGGCAGTCAAATGAAGACTGAATTAAGATGCTGTTTACTGGAGGATGAATAGTTCTGTTACAGAGTTGGTCTTTGGGCTCCGGGTTGCTCCTGGGAGGTGACAGGCATTGATGATTCCCATAAAGTTTCTGTCCTGTTTGGCTGACTGAGATTCAGAATAGGGCATGTTTTCTGATGTGCTGTAGCCCTGCAGTGAAAAAGGGAACCTTTGGTTTTCAGATCTTTAGAGCTATAATATCCTGTGCCAGCCTGCTGTAACATGGATACATGGGGGTGTTCTCGTACAGTTTCTCTGTAGGAGAGCATCTTGCTTTGGTTTTCTGCCAGATATAACTGTCTGTTCTTTGTCTTAGAAACGTGGTGTGCTGCTATATTTTTATATATGTCTTATGTGCAACTTGAAAATCTGTAATTTTATTTTACTGAAAGATACGGATCTTTAAATGTTAGCACTGTGAGGCTTGTCATATTTACTATGTAATAAAAATTCTTGGAACACTGGTTTATCATAGAAGTTTAACTTCTGTTTTTCAGAATACTTTGAACACAACAGTTTTGAACAATTCTGTATTAACTATTGTAATGAAAAACTGCAACAGTTTTTCAATGAACGGATTCTGAAAGAGGTATGTTATGTTTGAGGATTTATTGTGTTTCTTTTTTTTTTTTTTTTAATTGTAAAGAGATACTTAAAGTAGCACTCCTTTCCATAAGACTGCACATTATGCTTGGATTAAAAAAATCCAGTTGACAAACTATTTTCCAACTATGTGATGTCTGATTATGCCAGAAAAAAAAATATTGCTTTTTGAAAACTAACAATGTTTTCTTCTTCTTTTTTACTATTCATTAAAATGAGGCATCCAGATACTGGACAATATCTCATACCTAATTAAACTACCTCATTGCATGAGCTTATCGTTAAGGAGATGAAGTTGGCATGTATTAAGCAGCGAAAGGAAATTCTAAGATGTCTGTGGATTCATGCTATATTTAAAAATATCTTCATGTTTATTTTTTAAAAAAAGCATTTTTGTTGGGTAAAAAAATATATGGCAAGTGGTGTTTTCTCTTTCAGTTGTTGTTTGTTTTTTTTTTTTTTTTGTAGGAACAAGAACTTTATCAAAAAGAAGGCCTGGGGGTTAATGAAGTGCGCTATGTAGATAATCAGGACTGTATAGGTATGTTCTTCTTGAAATGTCAAGCTGTTTCTTAGTGTCATAGAGGAAAAAGGCTTCAAGCAGAAGATGCAAAATATGCATAGCATTAGTAATTTTATGCTCTTAATGACTGTTGCAACCTTGTGAATTCTTCAGGTTCGGGTTGGTAATAGAGACATGTTGTTCAGTGTGTGAAAACTGTAGCTGGGATTTATGAATTACTTGGGCATTTTCCTGGAAATCTAATTACAACTCCTAAATAGGGTAAATAAAGTAAATAAAGTGAAGAAGGGTTTGAGGGTGTCTGGGCAAAAATATTCCATGAATTAATAATAATA